AGTCCTCACCATCTTGGTCATCATATCTTCGATTAAATGTATATAGTTCATTTAAATAGACTGAACTGAAACTGGAAAAAATGAATCTAATAGTCAACTAAAGTCGGCGTATATAAGTCATTTTCGACTAAGGGGTGATTAACAGACCAAAAGACCGAATGACAGACAGATTGTGGATGCCTCATTTAAAGATTGATGGCATTAAGGAATGACAGCCGATTTTATAAATGACACTAGCTAGACTGTGCCAGTCGTTAGATTGGCATACCTGCATATCAAAAGTAGTGATCAGCCAACGTTTAGAGGTATCGTAGGTCGTCATCTCGCCCATGTTGACAAGAGCAGCCCGTTGTACATTAGGAAGGGCGCCGCGCCAGAGACCTCGCCAGCCAGCCTCAGCGACCAGTAGGCGCAGTGTTCCAACGACGGAGCGATCAAAAGACCGGAAAGGGAAGCTTGAGCTGAAGATATCAATAAACAATCAAAATTATCAAAGATGACCGACTAAAGTCACCGCTCCAAAATTAAGATTTTTTCAAGAAATAACTTTTTTTAATCGAAGGTATGAAGACCAAGATGGTGTGGCCTTTTGTGTGGTCGCAGTCTCTTTTCGTTGTATAGAGGTTGTTTGACCTTGTTTTCGCAACATGGTCAAATTGGTAGGGGTAGAGACAGGATAGACGAGGCGGCGATTGGAGCTAGTTGGCTGATAGGTTTTACAAGAGACGTGGTCCATGTAGCAAAGACATGACCATGAGAGTTACTCTGAGGCTTTAGCCTCTAATCAATCACTCAGGTGCAGTGGATAGACGAATTACGCCTCGAATAGCACATATGGGAGGGGGGTCAGGGTTCGAGTAAAATACATGTACCAGGGGGATAGCAGACGGATTCGACGGGGCAAGACGAAGACTTTGATAGGACCCATGGAAGGACTACGTAACAATATGACAGACTCTGGTTAACATTCCCAGCACAAGGGTGAAGGGGGTGATAACGACAGTGTAGAGTGGGAAGGGTCTTCAAAAATGCTGCTGAAAGGAGCACAATACACTACATTAAAAATAAGCACGGTAAAAATTTTGACAGGGACGGCACGATAGGACGATATAGAAAATGTGAATAGCCCAGGGCAGAAAGGGAGATACCACAACTGTTTATCACATGTTTGGTCAAAGTATGGGCTTCACTTGTCTCTTTGACGAGTTGTTGTGTGGTGCTGAGAATGACAGGACTCACTGACGATGCCGGCGAAACGTCTGGGAATGTACCACGTCCACGGTCCTACTCTGGAAATTATGATGCATACAATGGACTCCGGACTAGGTGCGTCCCTCTAAGTCTTCCTACCAATATGACCAAATTGCAAAAACAAGATCAAACAACTTCGAACCCTTTTTTAGCCTAGCACGAAAGTCTGACTGAACGCTCTATAAGATTTTAGTAGTATTCAAAACTATTATCAAACCTACTTTGGGTTTATCTTTCCTCTTAGGAATGTATGTTATAAAAACATGCTATGAAAGTAATAGTCTCTCTGAAACCCGTTGATATTCAAGCATTTAGGTCGGGTATTACAATAAGGCTGGACGATGCCAACTATCAGCTTAGAAAATCAGTGAGAATGTATAGGAAATGATCTTGCTGGATTTTTGGGAAGAGGCAAAATCCAACAAGAAGTTAGGCCTTAGTCAGTCGAAAGTGATCATTCGTTCTAAATTTTTTATTGAGTC